GGACAACCCCTGTTGGGGTCGCCGTGCCCCCTTGCGAGGGTGTATCTCGGCAACCACGTGCCGGTCGAGGCGATGTGATGGCTTGAATGAAAGCTGGGAGCCGGTCAACTTCATCTCAGGCCCTTTCCCGTCGTGGCGGGGCGTGGGCATCGATGTATCGACGCGGATATGTACAGGACACCTCCCAATAACCCTGCGGTGCCCCTTGGGAGGGCATATCTCCGCATGTACTGGTCGGGTAAGGCCACCCGATGGCTTGGATGATAGCTGTGGATCATACAAGCACAACAAAGGTTATTGGGGATGTTTCGGCGGTGGTTGGGCCGAGGTATGGAGGAAAACGTGGATTTACCGAAGCCACGGAGCATCTTTCTTAGGCTCTTTCTCCTCGGCCCTGGCTTTGTTGTGGACTCAAAATACATTCCGTGAAAGCTGTGTTCAGTAGGATTACAACAAATCTGGTTTGAGGTCGATCCGAGCTTTCTACGCCGAGTTAGACGTGTTGTCCCAAATAGCCGTGCCGGAAAAAAAAACACTCTGTCGGGACTCGTACCCATGACCTGGCCCTTAACGGGCTGCGAGGCTCCCCACTAGACCACCGGGGCGACCGGGTGTACTGTATCTATACTGCTGGTTACGCTAGAGCCTTCTGATGCGGGTCATCTGGAGATGAGCCGTGGTGGTCAGGAGCCGCACACAAGTTGCGTGGCGTGTAGGTCGCTGGTGCAGCTGGGATACTGAATGCGGCCGTTGTGATACATACGCATACTGAATGTTACTCGAACCGGATTGCACGTACGACTATGGTCGTTGGCACGGAATAATCGGTCGAGAGGCACAAAGACACAACGCGACATATACGGGTGGATATGGTGCCACACTATGTATACCGCTGGTTACGCTAGAGCACCGAACTACCCATCCCTTTGGGCCGAGGCCATAGCTTGGGCATGCAACAACCTGAACTGCACCTCCACCCCATCCAACCCAGAGAACAAATCGCCGGAGGAGATGTGGCACGGGCACCCTCCCCCGCCGGGGGCGACGTACCCGTTCCTCAAACCTGCCGTATTCAAGGTCAAGCGCACGCACAAATCCGAGCCGAAAGCCCAAAAGTGTTTCAACAACAACCGTAATTACGTGCGCATCTTGAACGAAAAACGCCCAAGCGATCCCAATTCGCAACTTCACCTGGCAATCCTTACCCGCTGCCCCCACTGCCCTGCCCCAGTCGCTGCCTCCCATCGCAGAGGAGGAAGAGGAATTCGCGACTGGGGAGGACGAGGCTGGGAGGGCGCGTCGAGCCAAGGTGGAGGGAGGACGGAGGGAGAACCTGTGGATGGAGAACCAGGTTTCAATCTTGGCACGACGGCAGCCTCGGGGCTTGCGGGGCCGCCCGCGCGCGTAGCGACGGCGGCGCCGCCGGCCGCACCCCAGGAGTCGGGCGCGGGCAACGTTGGCGATGGCGCCCCCTCGAGCAGGGAGGGCGCCAGCGTCGCCTCATCTACCACCTCGACCGGCACGGCCGATGTGGGCGGCGGCGAGGACGACCGCAGCAGCAGCAGAATCCGCGGTAGCGGCGGCAGCGACAGCGACAGCAGCAGCGCCGGCAGCAGCGGCGATGACGGCGGCAGCGACAGCGGCAGCGGCAGCGACAGCGAGACGGATCTCCCGGCACTCCGTGGGCCAGAGGCCCGGCGGCTCGCCCGCTTCGATAAGCCGGCGGAACTAACCAGCCGTCGCACCAGGGAGAGCCCTCGCCGAAACCCGAGGCACGAGTCGCCCCCGTCGCCGACAAGTGCCGAAGCCCTGCTCGCCTCGGCAGCTAGCCTGTCCGTCAGCAGCACGGAGGAGTTCACCAGCTTGATTCTCTCGGCGGTACTTCACGTGGCGGAAGGGCTGCAGGCAAGGACGGTGCGAGAGTTGCTGTTCGAGCGCGCGGAGGAGGCCCACGCTGCGCTTCAAGAGACGGAGGACTTCCTGCCGGGTGCGGTGGACCTCATGCTCAACTCGCCAGACGCCTTCGAGACGGCTTTGGCGTCCCACGAGCTAAGTGAATCCCCCATTGGCAAGCGTCCGAGTCATGTGGAACCCCCCCCCATGACCGTAGCCGGCGTTGTCAAGTGTGTGTACATAGAGGGGTGGGAACAGGCCATGAGGGAAGAGTTTGAAGGGTACTTGGGCACGGGAAAGTGTTCATTCGTAGACGGCGCGTCAGAGGGGCGCAGGCCTGTGAGCTCAAAGTGGTGTTTTAGTTGAAATACCAACAAGGAAGGGAACATCGAATAGTTCAAAGCGCGTCTGGTTGCTAGGGTGTTTTCGCAAATCCCGAACGTCGATTATTTCCATTCGTCTTCCCTCTGCCCATCATCCGCATCCATTAAGCTGATGCTTGCGGTAGCAAACGAGATGGGCATGAACCTCAATCACTGGGATGTGAAGCAGGCGTACACACACGCCACGCTAGACGAGGAGGTTTTTGTGAGGCTCCCCGCTGGGTGCGGGGACAAATTGCATAGTGTTATTAAGGCTGAGAAGGCGATTTACGGTCTTAAGCAGAGCGATAGGCAGTGGGGGTACCACGCTGCTGATACGCTAGTCGAGAATGGGTTCGAGCGGTGCATGGCGGACCCGTGCGTTTTCCGCAAGATGTTCGACGAAGTCGTGGTGATGATTATCGTGATCTACGTGGATGACATTTTGGTGGCTGGGTCTGACGAGGATTGCAAGGAGTTGCTTGATTCTCTCAACGAGAAATTCCCCAACGAAAATCTGGGAGAGTACGAATGGTTTGGCGGATGTGCCATTGAGAGAGATGTAGAGGCTGGGACTCTAAAAATCTCGCAAACCGCGTACATCGACAGCATGGTGAAATGCTTTGATGTACAATCGCCCTCCCGCATCCCTGCTTCCCCTAATGTCGACCTAGGGCCGAAGCGAGATGACGAGAAGCTAGGGGAGTGGTCGGTGAGAGAGGCCATCGGTAGCATGATGTCGGCGAGGAGAACCGACAGTGAATGTCGCGTGGAGTGGATTTTTTTCACCGCTGATTCATTCAATCTGTACTCTCGCGTCAACAACGGACTCGCGATGTTCTGCCTTTGGAATAGGCCTGAAGACGGCGGGTAAAAGCTCCATTGCCACACCATGCACCAACGTGCCGCTGAGGTACATTTTTTGCCTTCCCTCGCGTTGGGTGCGGAAGTACTCTATGCCTACCACCACGTACAGGAGCAGCACGGCGAGGAATTGCCCATGAGAGAGAAGGATCCCGATACTGGGAGATTTAAAGCCGGCTACGGCGTAATAAGCGAGCAAAGAGAAGTCCCACGTGATGGCAAAGCCGAAGAAGGGTCCGGGGGCCAGGACGTCTGTCGCTGGTGCATGGCCCAAGACAAGTCAAAAACGTTCTCGGCCTACAGTAGCAGTAACAGTAGACTCGGAGTCGAGCGAACAAGGAGAGGGGAGTGAAGAAGAGGGAGGGGGAGCGGACAGCGAGGAAGAGGGAGGGGGGCAGAGGGGGAGGAGGAAGAAGAGGATGAGGAGGAGGAAGAAGAAAAAAGGGAGAAAGGGGAGGAAGAGGGTGAGGAAGAAGAGGAGGAGGAGGGAGAGGAAGAAGAGCAAGAGGGTGAGTAAGAGGAGGTAGAAGGGGAGGAGGAGGAGGGGAGGAGGAGCAGCAGCAGGAGGAGCAGGACAAGCAGGAGGAACAGGGGAAAAGGAGCCAGGTGTACGCTCCCGGGGGCGTAGACTAACTCCGAAACGGCGGTACTCGGAGTTGGGGTATAGATGGCGCCCGCACTTAGGAACGTCAAATTTGGCGTGAGGCTCGACGCTTATTGGCTGCCTCGACCCCAGCACATGTTCTTATGGCAATGATCTTATTCCGATCAGACTTTTGGTCGCTGAAAACGGGGTTCTTGTTCTTATTCCACCGTCAAGTACTCCAGAGGCGCACCAGGACGCCCTTTGGTGACTCGCAGCTATGTACATACATTGATAGGACGTGGAAATTGGCGTGCAATTTCATGCGGAAGAATAAGTTGCATCATCCCCATACAGCACGCCCATACTTCGCCGTACTATGTCCATACTGTCCATTCACCAGGCACCAAGATTACTGGCCGTCGACTTGGCCGCATGCTTCTACAACAGACCTAGACCAGATCACGCACCGCAGCAGCTATGCTCGCGGTTGAGTACAAACATGAAAACAAACTCCGAAGGCTTCAACTTTCTTGGTCGATAAGGATCACGTTCGGCCTGCGTTCCCTTCCCGCTACGCCCGACGTGCCTGTAGCTCCGCTCCCATCCACCTGCTCGACCGTGTTCCTCTCAAGCAAGATCCACGAGCCCACCACCGCATCCGGATCTCCTTTGTACATTTCCAACTGCAGCTTCATGCCGCGCGTACTTTGGTCGAGGTCGAGATGCACACGGTAGTCGTAAAGGTGGCGAGTGCGCTCCTGAGACTGTCGAGTGATCAACCCCCCAAACCACCCCATGCCCAGCCTAACGAGTAATCCACGCTGCAGTAACAAATTGTCAAGAGCTGCCGGTGTAGATGCTTGAATGCGAAACCCATCCGGAATCTCCATGGCGCGAATCTCGTCGTCCGATTCCATGCTGTCGTCGTCGTCCACATGACTCAGCTCGTCCATCTGGCCACTGGCCGTCTCTGCAACGACGGTTACACACGATAATGTCGCAGAAACTGATATGTCATCTAAGCAAACATGCTCAACGGCAACGGCAAGGGCAAAAGCAACAGCAACAGGAAACACAGCAACAACCAAGCAGGGGAGCGAAAAACCCTGGTGGGCATACTTACAACGAGTGTCTTCGTCGCTAGAATCCGTAGTTCAGGAGATTGGGGTCGGTGGCGGCGAGCATGGCTTTGACAAATGTTGGATGCCGCTTGGTTCCGGCGCAGATTTCGAACTGTTTTCAAAGGCTGCTGCGACCTTCGATATTTCAGCTACAGTGGCAAACCTGAACGTGCCAGCACGCAGGACGCCTCTTCATGATGTTCTATACGGCTCGCAACAGATCTAATCTACCCCTGAACTGACCTAATTTGAACACCTTCCGTTTTGGCTCCTTTGTTTTTCGCGATCATCCCGACTGGACTTGTGTGTCTGTTGAATAGTTTTCTGTACCTCTTGAGTTTGTTTTTGTCAGAATCAAAATTACTCTTCTTCCCCCCCTAAACCGGTTCAAGGGTTCTGTTTTTCGCGATGCCTCCCGACTGGTCTTGTGTGTCTGTTGTGTAGTTTTCTGTACCTCTTGAGTTTTTTTTCGCCAGAATCAAAATTACTCTTCTTCCCGCCCTAAACCGGTTCAAATGAGGAAACGCTTCCGCAATATTTCAAAACTGGGTCCAGTGGCTTCGTGGCATACACACTCGTATTTCAACCACCAGTCGATGTTCTGCGGGTGTTTTGTGCAGAGATTCACGTACACCATATATAGTCCTAAAATAGTGCCAGAGAAGAGATGGGCACCGGAAGTGAACACTTATGCAAAAGACTAGGAGGCGCTACTCTAATATAGGAACGGTATCGCCGTTTTTCAGCGCCAGTTTACCGTTAAACCGGGTAGAAACGGTTGAAAAGCCTATCCTCTTTGAATACTTCCAGCTTCTTTTTTTTTTATAACCCTAACCGATAAACGCCTACGGGTTTTTTAAAGGAATGCCCGCCCGACGGTGGCTTGCCTCCTAGATTTAGTAGATGTAGATTCTGCCGTAGACACTCTTGTCCACGAGCACGTTGAGATGGGAAGGTTGCTTGTTATTGCAGAAGCGGGTCTGCTACAGGTCTGAGGTGAGGCGGATTGCCCTCAACCTGGGGGCACGCAGATAGCTAAGTCCCGATGGGGTACGTCCTAAGAGGGTATACCTCCTGACGTCCCCCATCTTAATCTAGACCGACTGTGTACCCTATCTGTGCCATACAGCAACACTCCTTAACACTAGCCCACCCTGAAGATCATCTATACAGATTCTATACTCAAATCCTAAGGCTACTAATAGCTGATGATTTAGGATCATGAATCGAAAGATATGACTCTTCACAAGTGTATCCAAAGGAAAGAGGAGCTGTAAGAATATCCCGACTCGACCCCCCACACCACCATTGAGACAAAAGGTGATTCCGATGACGCGGAAACACAACTAGTGGCGACTCAATGATAAGGTTATACCCATGGAGGGATATAGCTAGGCAAGATGTGTTGCAAAGCACGATGTTTTAACACAAAAAACAAAATAAATCAATTCCAACGCCACACATCACTCTATTTCGCGCGCAAGCGCGTATTACGACTGGAGGAATGAGGGTGGCGACACAAGAGAGTCCAGAATTACTCCCGCAAAATTCAGTGGGACAGGACGACGGGCACACTACGGCTGAATGCGCTGACCACAAAAGGTAAGACTGAAAGAACGTTCATGGCCAAAACGCAAGAGAGGCGTTAATTGCCACCCCAACCAAACTGCACAGTAAAACGTGGAGTCCAAACCATGAAAAACAAATGGCTGGACGAGGCACGAATGATCAAAGTCGAAAATCTATGCGACTAGCCACCCTATATCTCGCACAGACGGGCGATAATTTAACACAAACACACAACACATTAACAGAAAACACATAAACATGCATACAACACTAGAACTCGGGATCTCGACTATGATGATGTAGTCGACGCCAGGAAGTGACGATGGCGGAAAGAAGTCCAGTGAAGTGGGCGATGGCGAACGTCGATGAAGGCCGCAGGAGAAGGGGACGCAACGGTATGGAAGTCCGGAGCATGGGGCGTAGTCAACCCATCTCGTGATGGCCAAGCAAGCTACAGAAACAAAGGTAGCAGTTGGAAACGACGGAACTTGGGGAACTCTTTTTCCAAGTATCCAGAGGCAAACGTCACCGACGAAACGTGGGGAACTCGTTTTCCAAGTGTTCAAAGGCAGACAACACCACCCATGCTTCGACTACTTCGAATCGTCGACGATGCCGATTGTTGAAAGCAGCGAAAAAAAAACTGACGAACGCACAAAAAATATATATATAAATAACGTATCCAGGTCGCGGCAATCGATAGACGAAATGCAAGCAACAAGGAAGAAGCACAGAGAAGGACACGTCCAGGTCGCGGCGATTTACGGGCAAACGCAGGCAGAAAAAGAAGAACGACATTGATCACAATCCAGAACAGGGAA